TCTTATCTGAAGAAAGCAAGAGAGAACCTAAATGCTGGATGAGAGGAGGGGGCAGTCTATGTGCAGACAAAGACCAACGATGCCCTCGCCAAATTCCCACTCAAGGGCCAGAGCCACAGGGCTGTGGGGAGAGAGAGTCTTATGCTTGAGGGTAATAGGAACTGGGCTCAGCCAACTTTGTAATGAAGTGTTTTATCTTTTTTGACAATGGCAGTGCCACTAAAAATTTTTAAACAAAAATTGCCTGTAAAGATGATTTATCTGACAGTTATATGTAAGAGATGATAGTAATTGGAAAAAATAGAATCAGCAACAAGCCTCTGGGAATGTTCTTTTATATGAGCCCCAAAGCAGGTTGGTAGCAGTGAACTTGACATAAAGTGAGCAAGAGACACTGGCAGTTGAGTAGGTAAGAAAAAGGGTGAATCTACTACATCCTGAGTCACAGAATCTCACAAGTCCCAAACAAAGTCACTGAATTTCATGTTCATCACGTTCCTGACGAACATGTTGCTTAAAGTTTCAATAGCAGATCACAGACCCATGAAATGAGTGAATAAATTAGTACTTAACATAAAAGCACCAATTCACATTTTGAATACAATCATCTTCAGGGTGCACCAATATACAATGGCCCACATTTTCACATGTGGGCACATTCGCAAAACCTAAAGAGCATGCCCCTCTAGGAGTTAAGTCTCTATGCTATCACCATTGGGGCCTGAGTTCAATCCTGGGCCAGGGAACTGATCCACGTGGTGCAGCAGACCTCTCCTATCTCACCTGCTGCTCCCCTCAGCAGTGAATTTTAGTCAATCTGCCTGTTCTGCTCCCTGCTCTGTCCTGGTGAATCCTCACACACACACACACACACACACACACACACACACACACACACACCCTCTGGCCTATACCCTAATTCTTTTATACACACACACACATACACAGGAGGATGACCATATTTACAGAGCCTGTACCAGAAACCAGACACTTGGCTAAATGCCAGGGATAGAGATATAAGAGCCAGCATCTGTGCCTTTTCAGGTCTCCCAACCAACACTCTTCCTACAAAGTCAACCAGAGCTTCAAGGACCACTCATAGGTTGCTGGATTCACACCAATATATCCACTCCATATTGTGCTTGGGCTTCAGCTGTGTCCACACACTGCAAGACTTCCTCACTGTGATGTCCATGGAGTTCTCCAACTTAACATCTGCAACACTGAATAGAGTCCCTAAAAACTGCACCTCTCACCCCAGGTACCCAACTCAGAGATGGCAGAAACCTGGGACTTTCCCCTGATTCTTCCATGGCCCTGCCTCATGCTCTCTAGCCTCACGTCCCCTTGCTTCTGTTTCTTAGATCTCTCTTTTCCAGGAAGCCCTCACCACCCACACACTCTGGGGCAGGCTGCCGCCATCCGTTGCCTGTCAACGTTTCTTACATGGTCAAAGTACCTGGCAACCCAACACACAGCCTTCACGTGACTTCCCAGACAGCAGCCAGTGTGACTCTTCTAGAAAGAGGATAAGGCTGCCACTTATCTGCTTAAAATCTCTCCTGGTTTCTAGCTGTTCTTGGAATAAGCTCTAAATCATGCACATTGCAATGCTTCACAGCCTGGGGGCAGCCCATCTTCCCTCTCACTTAGCTCCTCTCTCCCATCTCAGCACCAATCACATAGGCTCTGTCACCTCCCCTCCCCACATACCCTCTTCTTGCAAACTCCTGTGCCAAGGAATGATAAACGTGACTCACAGTGAGAACAGTCACTATCCTCCCCCATGAGTGTAGTTCTCTGTGTTTGCTGAGAATTCTCACTCTAGCCACATCAATGCAATGACTATCTTTTGCAAAGTTCTGAAGAATCAAATGGAATTTCGGACACTAGGACTGTCCTAGAACATGTTGGCCTTATGCAAGTCCCCATGTGTGTCACAGACATTTAGAACTCAGACCTTCCTGAAGCGGGGAGAGAGGGTGGCTGAGTGATTTCACAGCTGGGGCCCAGCCGAGGCTCTAGGAACTGTCATGCTGTGGGCTTGATAGTTAGTTCACTGTTGATGTGATTTATCTTATTTTCTTTGGTCAACTCAACAAAGAGGTGCCAAAAACAAACATAAGTACAGCTTATGACCCCCAAGAATGTAAAGGATCTTTGGACCATTCAGAGAAGCTCCTTGTCTTGAAGGACAGACTAGCAGAGAGCCCTTTGCTTGCTCATACATACCTTGGGCATTATGCAAAGTAAAACATCAGACAGAGAAAGACAAATACTGTATAACATCACTAAAAGGTAGTACCTAAAAAAATTGAATTCATGAAGAGAACGGTTAGTGGTTGACAAAGGCAGGGTGTCAGGGAGAAGTGGGGATTGGGCAAAGGGGATCAGAAGGCACAAACTTTTATAACAAACATTTATATATACCTCACAGAGATGTAATATATAACATGGTGACTATAGTTAATATACTATATTGCATATTAGAAAGTTGCTAAGAAAATAGATCTTGGGGCCCTCCCTGATGGTGCAATGGGTTAAAGCGCAGCACTGCAAGCCACCTGCAGCTGCTTCTGTGCACGTTCAATCCCCATGCTGGAGGTGACCCACATGGCACCGCAGACCTCTCCTGTTTCATCTCCTGTTGCCTCAGCAGTGTACTTTGTCGATCTGCCTGTTCTGCTCCCCATTCTGTCTCTGGTGAATCCTCTCACCACCTCTGCACCTCTGACCTGTACCCCAGTTCTGTATGCATAAACAAACAAATCTTAAAAAAAAGAAAAGAAAATAGATCTTGAGAATTCCTATCATAAGGAAAAAAGTAGTGACTGTGGTGATGGATGTCAGCTAGACTTATTGTGGTGATCACTTTTCACTATATACACCTATCAAATTACTATATAGCACACCTATAACTAACACAATATTATAAGCCAATTAATCTCAATAAAATTGGGCCTTGAGGATCTGTGAGTAGATAGAAACCCAGCATCAGCTCCTGCTTTGGAAGTGGGGATGGGGTATCTCCTCAGGGTTTCTGGCCTTAATCACAGCCCCAATATTATAGAGACTTCTGGAATTTTCCAGTAACAAAGGAAAAAATAATTGTTAACTTGAGTTTGTGAACCTCTTATTAGTCCACCCAAAATCATATAATGAAGAACAGGAAGACACTGAAGTAAAAATGTGAGACAGTAAAGAGGGTGGAATGCTTGTCACACAGCAGAAAGGAAGGCAGGAGGGGCAGGACTGTGAGTGCTTTGGCCCCTGGCAGCCCCAGACTGACTCCTGCAATATGATGATGCTCTTTGATTCTTGTTGAAGCTGCTTGAAATTGTGCCAAATCACATTAAGTCTGCCCAAAGCCTCTGAGAGGAAAAAGTGGTTTCTAGACAGAAGAATATGACACAGAACCAAGAGCATGTGCCTAACCTCATCCTCTGAGCACCTTTGATAACGTCCTCAAAAGCAAAGTGGTATTTGAATCTGCTGAAATCTTCCATAAAAGGAGTCTAAATGCAGGCTACATGGCATCCAAAAACTCCCCAGAGATATTCCTATTATGTGCAAGGAAGGGGGTGCGGGGGAATGAAGCAAGTTCCATCCTGCTGGAACATTCTTTCTGAAGTGCAACTTCATGGTTCTTATGTCTGTTGCCAACCAAATGCTTCATCTAGACCAAAGCCCTGCCCATCAAGGTGTCAGGATACTGAAAAATGAGCTAGAGGAGCAGGTAGCCGCGGGGAAGGTCTCTAAAACACCAAAACCAAAAGGCAAGCTATAAATAAGGATATTAATTTTATAAAGCCTCTAGGTAATGTTGAGCCAGTACTGTGGCTAATGCTGCTCAGAGTTGCTATAGCAAAACAGTGACATTACCTTTTTTCCTTAGCCCCTGTGGATTGCACCAGCTAAAATCCAGAACACAATCTGTATCATGTGTGACTTTCTCACCCAGGGACCCACACTCCCAGGGAAGCCCCAGGACTCTAAAGTAAGAGTACAGTAAAATTAACTCAATTAGCACAAGGGGATGAGGTGACTCAATTCAAATGTCTCGGCTCATATGAGGTCTCTCCTGATGAGCAAATATGAATCCCTTTTCTGACTGTGCAGTAACCCTGTTAACACTGTAACTCAGTAATGTAACTATCAAGTTATCTTGTGAAGTTGTGAGTGAGTTTTCCTCCTCTGTTTGACTATAGACCCCAGAGAGAAGAGCTTTCAGGGTTCGTTACTCAATCTCTAAAACCTGGTTCAGAATCAGAATCAGCCCCCATATTTGGCTGCCTTCCCAAATGCCGAAAGTCCAAAGATCAGTTATCTGTAACTGAAGGTAGAGTTAAAAAAAAAAAAAAAAAAACCAGCATTCACATCAAGACACCAAAAACATCATACACTGGAATGACAGTTATGAGAGATGTAATATGTGTATATATACTTATTTAGACATACTCTTAATGTGGGCAAAGTGATTGATAGCAATTGTGGTCGACAGACCTACAGGCCGACAGCATTAGTCCCAACATCACTCAGCAAGCTGTTAGCAGAGCGAAATCAAGACCCCGTATGGGCCCAGGGAATCAGAACATCCAAAGGTGTTCGGTTTACTGGTTCTCCAGGTAATCAATTTTGTCACCTCAGAAGTTCTGAGTGATTGTTATTCCGAAATAAAAGCGATAATTAATAAGAAATGCTGGCAGAACTAAGACTGGACCAGGGACAATAACACATTCTTGCTGTCATTTTGATTAAGGAAAAGAAGGAGGCTGAATTACACGCACCGGCCTGGCGCCGGGAGTGCGCGCCTCTCCTGCTGCCCACCGGTGCCATCGAGGCCGCCCAGAGCCAGTCGGCAACCCGTAGGAAGGCAGTCTCCACTTGGCTCCCTCTCCTAGGGGGCAGCAACTTCTGCGGCTCTCTCTAGAAATCACTCTAACAGTGTCCCTCCAGGAGCATCGAGGAAAGGCAATGGGATGAGGCAGTCGGCCGCCTACCATGGTTCAGGTGCCGGATGCAGTCGCAAAGCAGGGCGCTGAACTTCCTCTGCTCCGCGGCCTCCCGGAAGCAGAAGTAGCCGTGCCTGACGAATGGCTGCCACAGGTACACGGGGAACTCCTTCGGCAGGGCCACAAAAGGCTGGCTGGTCTCCTTCTCGCTGGATGCTAATGAAAGGTGGAAAATGCAAAGACATTTTAAGATATATTAACTTTTACTTAAAATATGTGTTTCGGGCCTCTCTGGTGGTGCAAGGGGTGAAAGCACAGCAGTATGAAGTTATCCACAGCCACTGCAGCATGAGTTCGATTCGCGGCCAAGGAGGTGACCCACATGGCGTGGCAGACCTCTCCTGACCCGCGAGCTGCTCCCCTCAGTCCTTCGTCAGTCGGCCTGTTCTGTTCCAGGCTCTGTCTCTGGTAAATCCTCTCACCCTCCACTCCCACCCTGCACTACTGGCCTGTACCCCAGCTCTGGTATGCATAAATAAATAAATCTTTAAAAAATAATAAAATATGAGTCTCAGGCTGTGAAGACAAGCCTCTGGGGCAGTCCATGGAATGGGGAGAGGAGTGAGGCGATCTACAGGTGGGGAAGTGAGAGCTGTAGATCCTCCAGCTGTCTCTATGTCGCACTCAGCAGAAGACCCTGTGGGTCTTGCCTATAAATGACCCACAGACATAGCTGGCTGGTCCCTACTGGTCCTGTGCTTGCTCACCTGCCTACCTGAGCAGCATCTATCCTAACACCCCTCCCATAGGTGGGGAACACCTTGTTCATCGAGAATAATGTGATTGTTTTCATGTCTGGCACCCATACTTAGGGTAGTGGGCACAGAGTGAGGTAAATTCCCCTCCTGGTTCTCACGTTGTCTGGTTCCCTCAGGAAGTTGAGTCACTGTCTATCCCTTAGAGGATGGATACTTTATATACCCTCAGACTAGAGCAAGTTACAGAACCTAGTAGATGTTCAACTACAGTTTCTTGAATGAATAAGTGTCCTACATTGTCAATACCAGAAACAATGAACTTTTTGCTTCTCTTTCAAAAGTAATTCCAAGAAACTCATGTCAACCATGCTGCCATCAGATCCCCTACCTAAACTTTGTTCCCTCACATGTGTTCCATTTATATGACATGGCACTTGGTTAAATGAGCTCTGGCTTTTTTTCAGAGTCATGCAGAACAGACAGAAGGAAAAAAATCAGTTCCATTCTCTACCTACATAAGGCACCAGCTTCAAGGAAAGGAAGGTTAAGAAGAACCCTCTTGAGAACAAATAAAAGCATTACACATACAAAGAAGTGGATAAAGGACATAAAAGTAGATAAAGTGAATAAACTATAAAGTGGGCTTCAGAACTGAGTCTTGGTACTGGTAAGTTAATAAATCAAAACTGACATAGATAAAGACTACATTTCCTGAGGCATAGAGAGTAGCCCTGTCTTAGTGACCTGAAATCTGAATGTAACAGTAAAAAGCACTGAGAACAAGAACTTCGGCCCACCAGTGCCCAGCCAAATACCTGGCATGTAACATCAGGACGAATCAGCATACAAGTGTACAAACAAAAGAATGAATGATTGAGTGCTATAGCAGGACCTCCAGGTGTAACACAGTATCTTTCTCAGTAATACAATACTATTTTTGATTGATTGATTGATTCATTCATTCCTGCTCCAGACCTCTCAGTAGACAGCCCAAGGAGTGTGTGAAAGTATATTCATAAATCCATGAACAAATATTAATATCTGTATACACACACACACACACACACACACAGCTAGATAGATAATAGATATCGCGGAAGGCTAAATAGTGATGTATTTTAAAAATACAAGCTCATTCTGATATCTTTGACTCCAATCCAACACCATAGCAATCTCTGATTTTTAGCTGAGCGACTATCTGCATGGAATCAAGACTAGCTTTCCAGCCTCCACTGTAGTTTGAAGTAACACAGCCACTAAGTTTTGGGCAGTGGGATTTAAACAGCAGTGTCAGATAAACTTTCTGAACCTTCTGGTAATATCCTTGAAGAGAGGGAATTTTTCTGTCTCCTTCCTTTTTCCCTTCCAGCTTTCTGGAGCAAAAACATGTGGCCAGTGCTCCCAGCAGCCACCGTGGACTTATAAGGGCTACATCCTAGAGATAAAGGGGCAGATTGCTAAGAGAGTCCCTGACATTTAGGATGTGTCATATGAGCACTGGACTGCTGATATCAAGTATTTTTGGCAAGATAATAAAATCTTATGCTTTTAATTTTATTATTTTGTTGTTGTGTCAGCGAACTAGATTCTAATTAGCAAAATTCTAAATAAATGAATCATTTTATCAAAACATGGGGGTAATTAGGACACTTCATTTTAGCAGAATACTGTGTAAAGATGATATTATTATTGATAAACCTATATCACTTTTTCTCAAGGGACATTAATCCCTGCTATCTTTATTGTGCCTTTTTTATTCAGTAGAATCAGTACCACACATGTTTTGTGAAACAGTTCTTCTTGCCCTTTTTAAAATGTCCTAATTTTGTACAAACAACCGGAAGCAACATTGACCCTTTGCATGTAAAAGACTCAGCAAGTACCATACAATTTACAATAAGTCTCTAGTTATCTCATTTAACCTTTTACAACTATTTTCCAGATGCCACTAGTCTACATTTTTTTCTGAGCTGAGTTAGAAGGCTATACAAATGATCTACTGTAGTATATTCTATTTTTAAAACTAAGAAGGTCATACCACACAATAAAAAAAAAAAACATTGAAATGTCTCCATCTGAAATCCTAGGCCAAAAGGCATTAGTCACACAGGCCTTGTGTTTTTTATCCCTTTGATTGCTTCTAATTTCATCAATAAATCAACAAATATAATGTCTGTTCAGACTCATTTCTTTGGAAAGTTCTTTTGGAGAGATTTTAAAACATGTTGGTATTCCCATTTCTACAGCAGCACCAGAGCGAAGATAGCACATGAGTAGATGTTGAGAGAAAATATAATAACATGTGTTATGCACATAAAGCCTTGCTTTAGCTTGAATTACTTAGCAATAGTTTGCTAATCTAGGTTTATGATCCATGTACTAATCCAAGTAGTGTTATTAAAAACACTATGCTAAGCATTCTGCACGGAAATAACAATGTATAAAATGGTTACATTTTCTCCATAAATTCTAATGAAAGGATCATACCATTAATAAGAACCAGGGCTCTCTTCAAGAAACCAAGTAATTATTGTGCAGTATGATTTACACAAAGCCAGATGGAGTTATTGCATTATCCACATTTCATGAATCTCTATAAGATACTCTATTTGGTTGATATATAATCCATCACTGTCTCTGCATATGAAAAGTGGAATGAATGAGAATTGAAGTATGGCAGAGTTGAAAAGATCCTTCTGGTTTCTTAATTCATGGTCCCAGTGTTGGAGAAACAGAAACCTAAGAGGTTCAAGCATGAGAACTAGATAAAAATTCAATCACCCAAATCTCAGCTCAGTGCTCTTTCCATAGCAGCTTTCAGCTATTATTTAGAGAGAGGTTAACTAATATCATTTTAAAAGAAAAAAAAAAAAACACAGTGGCTCTGAGTTACTGGAGTGTTTACAAGTATTTTGTCGATTTAGGATATTTTATTGCATATCATCCTGAAATTAGAAACATAATATTTCCTGACAGCCCCAGGCTGACTTCCCAAGAGACCGATTTGACCATCCCACAGAGGGGATCCTATCTATTTATTTCTGCTGTCCTGTGCACTGCTATTAAAGTTTGTGATATATTCAAAGCCTCGAGATATCCAACCAGTGGCACACTTTGTATGCATTAGAAGCGCAATATCACTGAATGTGATTTAAAATAATAGAAGTGGCCCAATGTTTACCAAAATTCAGAGAAGTGCATCTTCCATTTATCTATGGAGAATGCATGTCTGGTCCAAGGTTTCCTCCACCCTGCAACTACTGGTATTCTTCACCAGATAATTCTTCCTTTGACAGGGCAGTCCTGTGAATGGTGAGGTATTCAGCACATCACTGCCATTTACTCACTAAGTAGCTGTCACAACATCCTCCCAAGTTGGGACAAAGACCTCCTGCTAAAGTCAAATATCTCTGGACAGTGAAATCCTCCTCCCCCATCTGGAGCTATCAGTTTAGCTAAGTGAAGCAAAGTTAGGAATTTTCCCTTGGGAAAGGGTGCTCAAACAACTTACCAATAGGGTCTGGAAAATGCCGATCGGATAATAAATTGTATTCATTGTCTGAGGTTAATACTTTGCCACCAACTGGAAGAATTCGGCTCTTAGGAGCAGCTCCTTTCTGATAAGCCTGGGAAAGTAAAGGCAGAAATGAAATTTTTTTTTTCCTATTTAGATTTTTGGAAAACATCAGCAATATAAGAGAAACAAAGACCGAGCCAGACGCATATACTCAGAGACACAAATTCCCACACTGTCACTGGATAAGAGCCATTTATTTTTAAAATATGTTTTGCATGTCTGCTATTTGCAAGGCAATATTTTCATACTTTAGTGTGCTGGCCACAGCATATAAAATGAGAGTCTCTAATCTTAGGGTGTGTCACTGTTGGTTTGCTTCTTGAATGGGAAAAACAATCTCAGTAGCTTCTAGAAATTCTGTTCCATTTTACTGTTTTAGACGTTAGCACCTGAGTCATCTCATAACTTCAAGGTAATGATGCATTGATACTTCCTGCACAAAATGCTGGTAAGCCAATGGCTAATGAGACCGTAGGACACATAACTGCAGTTACAGTTACCATGGATTTTCACCAAAAATAAAAATGTTGCCTTCATTAAATATGCTACCACTTTACCCTGAAACATGGGAATGCATTGCAGTAAAACAGTTTGGGAGAGAAGTGCAGTATCATGAGATCAGAATGAGCGCTGACCAGGGCTCTACCAAGTGGGAAATGGAAAATCAGTGCTGAGCATCTGACGGTGAATTTGTGATGACAATCCAAGGTCTGCAAGGACTTCAGATAAGATGAAATGTTAGTAAGTGCATCTGACGTCAGAGTTTGAAACAAAGCAAAATTTTGGGAACCACCTCCAAACACGTTTAGAAGTGAAACCAAGAAACTGGGGACCCCAAATCCAGAGTGTCTTCATAGGGATAACTAAAGTAATCTTTATCATGGCCAAAAAAAGTCAGAATAACAGTAACACATTCTGCATCAATAAGAGAATGATTGACGAGACCCAAAGTCAGCTGTCATTTAAGAAAGTGGTTTTCTTGGTTTTAGTAACCATAAGTGGATTGCTCAAGCCAGTTTGAGAACCAGAGCACAGAAGAATCTTAAGTGATGTGATTTAGGAGAAGTTTAGAAGCAGTTTGATTTAGATTGTATTATTTGTTATAACAGGCCTGAGCTTTATAAAAATTACATGATTTAATCCTCAAAACAGCTCTATGAATCAGACACTATCTTCACTTTAAAAATGATAAAAACGGAGCTCATAGAGCTTATGTAACTTGCCAATGGGGAGTTGGTAACAGATTCAGGCTTTACACCCTAGTCTGTCCAGCCCCCCTGCAAGTGTACAGGGAGTAAGAAGCAATTGGTAGATAGAATGCTTCACTTTTCTTTCTTAATTATTAGCCAAAATTGAACTCTTAATAAAATAATAAGCAATTTATAGGTACTTAAAGTATAAGTCTGAGGTATAATTTAAAAACTCTCCTGTAAGCTAAAAAGCAGAATATTATTATTTGAAGAACCTTAGAAAATTTCATGAGCATTTTTTTAATTTCCAAGTTTTTAAAAAAAACTTTATCCTCAAGTACAGATTCCAGATCTTCCTATCATGACAACCCAATAGACTCATTTGAAATGATGAGCAAAGAAAAGAAATCGACATAGTCTGTATATTGCAAGTTGAGATAGCTAGCTTAAAAAAACACCAACATTTGATGAACAGTGAAACTACGGTTAGTATTGAACGTGGTGAAAACGCCAGTAAATCCAAGAGCATGCTGAGCTTTTCCTCCCAATGAGTTAGTAGCAATCACACAACAAATGTTCTGTATCGGGCTTTACCTCAGGCTGGCATGTACAAAGTGTCTCAATATATCCACTTGTTTAAATCATCACCATGACAAAGTGAGCATTCTCACCATTCTTATAGAGGAGAAAACCAAGATCAAGGAGATTTATATCTGGGACCGGGTAAAGGTGTGATCCACCAGAATGTTAGTAATCATCAGACTATACTGCATCTCTCAAGTGTCCCTGAGAGAAGACTTCAGTGTACCAAACAAAATCTAAAGGGATTTATTATTATTATCCTTGTTACTTGCAGTGCGGTACATTTGCTGCGGAGAGAACATCAAATGTTGAATGAAATTCTAATATAGATAAGCAGAAAAAATATTAGCTTAATGTTGAAAAGATGACACTCTTCTTAAGAGATCACTAGAGCATTGCCTGGGAGTCTGTGGGATGTTTGAACTGCATACTATTTCTGTTCTCCAAAAGGAAACATTTAGTTCTGTCAGCAGAGGCCTCTTAATGATTTAGCAACAGGGGGATTACTCCGAGTATCTGTAGAGGTTGTCCTGGCTACTCTTGACCTGGAATCAAGAGTAGGGTTTTAAATCTATAATTACTTTTAACTGATAAATACTAACTGTGATGTGTGATTTATAAGAAGCATTTCAGGTCTTTATTCAGAGTTCCTGGCTCACAGCTCCCACAGCTCTGGGAATTTCCTAAGGTTGAGAGTATGAAAAATGTCTCTTGTTATATTCAATGAGGTGACTTTGGGGGAAGTACCTCAGGGTGAGGGCAGGGTGCCAGGAGAAACCAGACATGTGGCTAGAGGATTGGAATTGCTAGCTTAACTCCCAGACCTCTAGGGAGGGGAGATAGCTGGCTAATGTTGCCAGTGAATTAATCCTCATGCCTGCATAATGCAGCCTCCAGGAAAAAAAGCAAAATCCAGGCACTTTGGAAAGCTTCCATGCGGGTGAACATGTGGGGATTTGGGAAAGTGGAGCACCTGGAGTGGGCTTGGGAGCGCCATCCTTTCCCCATACCACCACTATGCACCTCTTTCATCTGGCTATTTTGTAAGATACATCCTTTGTAATAAGTCAGTGATCTAATGAGTAAACAGTTTCCTGAATCCGCTTAAGTCTTCTAGCATCAGATCTGAGGAGGAGTTCAAGGAAAGCATAGCCAATAACCTTACTTGTGGCTGCTATCTGACGTGGAAGCCAGTCTCTGGAGACTGAGCCCTGAACCTGTGGTATCTGATGAGCTGAGTTCTCATGCTCCCTGCTGGTGTTCAGGAATTGCTTGCTGGTGTAGAGAAGACTCCACACTCACTCTTATTGGATCTAGATCCAGGAATTCAAGCAACAGCTATTCTTTTTAAAAGAGAGCTTGAGAATCTGTGTGAACTAGCAATGCTATAGAGTGAGATCCGGAAGGACTCAATGGGCCAAGTCCGTCCAACTTCCTAGTTTTACCTAGGTCTGACCTTAACTTTAGTTTTCTAAACTCTGTTTAATGTTCTTTTCCTTATGCCATAGTATCTCTCTAAATGGAGAAAGATACAGGAACCCATTAAATTGAAGTCCCAGGTGTCTGGGACTCTCTACATTTTACAAATGAGGAAAATAATGAGAACGGTTAAGAAAAAGTTAAATGAAAAATGCATGTGTGGAGTAAAATATGTGAAAGATCCTGATTTTCTGGGAACCAATGCAAATTCAGTAACAATTACCTTAAAAGAAAAAGAAACTGACACGGAGAGCAGAGAGAGTTTCAACATAGAGATCAAGAAAGGTCTAAAGGATCAAAGAAAAGGATTATTTGTGGATTGATTGGTATAATCTTCAAATCATATTCACTTACAATTAAAGTCTATCTCCTCACTCAGCTTAAAGCACTGTCTGATCTACTGCTGTTTGCCCAGAACCGGCCAAAAAAAAAAAAAGGCATATAATAGGCATTCAATAAATACCTGCTGACTGAAATAAGTGCCTGTGTGAGTGTGTGCTCAATGAATAAGTCAATCTGGAAGAAGATGTGCTAATCAGCCCAGTCAATTTGTAAGAACTGTGGCAAGAACAATGGTAACCAGAAATGTCTTACCTCTTTATTCTCATAGCTTTCCACAGCAAAATCATTTTTAATCACAACATATCTCTCCTTCCATTTCTTTATGTCTTCAGCAAACTGTGATAGCTCTGCTTCATATATAACAGTACCAGGCTCCAATGGTGGCTTAAAAAAAGATGAACACATGGGATTATCATGGCAAAAGTCAATAAGTCCTGCTACCTCTTAGTGTATACAGGGTATTTCAAGGCATATTTTGGGAAACTCTCTTGGGCTGCAATCCTGGGGAATTTGTTGCTTTTTCTCTTCCCTCTATATTTCTTTTTCCTACAATTCCTGGAATACAAATATTTGTTTATTCATTCATTTATTTATTTATTTTGTACCAATTTCCATTTCCCTCCAGTAAGCTCCAGTAACTTGTGCAGAAAGAAGTATAGTGATAAGCCTGTGCCAGGTATAGGCACACTTCACAAATCCTCAAAAAAGCTGTGAGAGAGAGTCGGAGAGTATAGGTGATACACATCTACCCCCAACACCCTGAAGGTGACTTGGGATTAAAAAAAAAAAAAACTAAAAAAGGAGAATGAGAGCCCTGCCTGGTGGTTCAGTGGGTTAAAGCACAGTACTAAGAAGCTTGAGCATGAGTTTGATCCTCACCCGCCCCGGAGGTGACCCAGGTTGGGGATGGGGGGTGACCCACGTGGTGCGGCAAACCTCTCCTGACCCGCCCACTGCTCCCCTCAGCAATGTACTTCATCAATCTGTCTGTTCTGCTCCTCACTCTGTCTCTGGTGAATCCTCTCACTGCCCCTGCATTTCTGGCCTGTACCTCAGTTCTGTAATGCATAAATAAAGTAATCTTTTTTAAAAAAGGAGAATGAACAGCCTGAGCCCCAATATCACATCTTCAAGAGCAGTCTCAACAGTCAGTGCTCTGTGATTTGCCAGACCCCAGTCTATGAGATTTGCCTAGGGACACAGTTTATGACCAGTTAACCCATTCCTAGGAACTCGGGGAGACCAGGCTTGCTCTCTGACTAAAGAACCAGCAGATAAGCCAGCAAAACTCACTTCTACCCTTTCTGCTTAAAGGTGTGAGTCTTTCTCATTAACCCTGGTGATGTATATGCTATAGGAGAGTCTCCCTTAGATTCCTAGTTAAGTCTCCTGTTGTGCTAACTATGGAAGGGAAAATTCCCATCCTGCTCATAGTGCAATTCCCACATTATCTCAGAACAAAGGAATGAGCTTCTTGTCTTCATGTCATTGAACGTACATAAATTTCCCTCTGTAAAAAATCAGTGCCATGAGATACTCAGGGCTTCCAAAGAAAATTTACATGAGCAAGGCCCCCAAGAATGGGCCCTGGGGACCATACACTAGATGATAAAACACACATTATATGAAAATGAAGAATGATGTAAAATAGATATATAGAAATATAAAAAGTTTAAAAGAATAGTCTAAATGATAACTTGAATTCCCTTTTAAATGCCAGGGCTTCAATTCTTTTTTCCTGAGAAACACCCAGGCAGCTATCTTACATATTAAAAGGTAAAACAGGACCTACCTCTTCCCCTTCTGTGAAACTGAAACCACATACAAGCTGAACTTTACAGTACTTTTCAAACCTGGGCCACTTAAACCAACTTATATGCTTGTTTAAAACGTGGACTCTCCCTAGACTTACTGTGCCAGAATGACTGGGGGTGTGGACCAGAATTTGCATTTTAACAGCCCCTTAAAATTCTGAGAATCACTACTTCATGAGGATAAACAATGACCCTGACACACCCAGTTTGCTATATCTGTGATTCAAGTATTAGGCCCCCAGTACTATTGGGTCTATCATTCCCTCCTTCTTGAAACCCCTTCTTTGTTTGCCTTCAAGCATATCACACTTTCTAGATTTTTCTCCTATTCCAGAGGCTATCCTCAGTTCATCTTTCTGTATCTTTCACTTTGTTCTGATCTCTAAACAAAGATGGTTTAAGTGTGGAACCGCTTCTGTTTTTCTGCCTGTATTCTCCTTGATTGTGTCCCAAGGTTTTAATACAGTTATAAGATAACAATTCCCCAATTTCTATTCTTTAGTCTCTGCCTTTCCATCAAGCGCCAGATTTGAACAGTTAGTCTCCCCATAGTTGTATGTCAAATACGCAGCCTAAACTTAATGTAGCCAAAAGTGAACTGGTGATTACCACCTATCCAGGATCATCCTTCTGGGTAAAGGGCAATAACATCCATTTATTTGCTGAAGCTGAAAACTAAGACATCATCACTGACTTCCCTCTTCTCTTATCTCGTACCCAATCCATCGGCACATTCTGCCAGATCTCAAATACAGCTTGACTTAGACCTCTTCTCACAACCACTACTACCATTCATTCCCAGTTTGCTACCTTCCTTTTCTTGGACTGCCCATGTCTCCTCAGTCTCCTTTGTCCCATCCTACAGTTTATTCTCTATAAAGAGCCCAGAAAGATCACTTCACATTACACCACTCTGCAGACAATCCTCTCCAGTAGTTTCCTATCATGCTTAAAATCAAAACTTTCATTGGTCCACAGGCCTGATGTGTCCTGATCCCTACCTGTTCTGCAAATACTTCTTCCACTCTCCTCTCTAGCTTACAATGTTATCAGCACATCAACCTTCCTGCTGCGCTTACAATTGCTGTGAGGTTTTTGCAGTTGCTGTTCCATCTGCCTGGAATACTCTTCCCACAGATATTCACACAGCTCAGTTTGGGCTCAATGTCATTTGTACAGAGAATATCTCTGCTGTATTCTCTGTTGGTCAGACTCTTATTGCATTTTTCTTTATAGTATATATACTATTCTTTTGTTTACTACCTTTCTCCTATATTTGTTTTTTTTTAAGATTTATGTATTTATTCATACAGAACTGGGGTACAGGCCAGAGATGCAGAGGGTGAGAGGATTCACCAGGGACAGAGTGGGGAGCAGAACAGAAAGATCGACGAAGTACACTGCTGAGGGGAGCAGCGGGCGGGTCAGGAGAGGTCTGCTGCGCCATGTGGATCTCCTCTGGGGCAGGCGGAATTGAACTCATGCAGAAGTGGCTTACGCTTCTTAGTGCAGTGCTTTAACCCACTGCACCACCAGGGAGGGCCCCTATATTTGTTTTTTAATAAATTATTTACTTTGTCTCCTATATTTGAATATAAACAAGGAAGCAGAGAATCCAGTTCTTGAAATAGGTTCTAGAATGTAGTAGATGCCAAATAATACCTGTTGGGGTTGTGGATAACTGCTATATACAGCAAAGGGGAGAGAAGTTAGGGGGTTAGAAGAGAAAATTATATTTGACCAATTATTATCAAAATCAAAATATCCTAGTCTGAAGCCCTGAAATTTTGACTTTTTTTTTTAATGAACTGTGCTACAGCAATTCAAATTACCTAAATATCCAAGCATCAGTGTAGGAAAACATAATGAAATTGTTGCCCTGCTAGTTTTTATTCTGCTATATGCTACATCATCAATAAGAAGTCATATGTTCTTATTCCAGGCAGACAGAATTTCTTGAGCATGTAATGATTTGAACACAGATTTTAAAACTGACATTTGAAGTACTATTTATTTCAGAGATATTATGACTTAGAAAGCTTTCTCCAGTGGGAAGTATATGTAAGTGAAAGATCTGTGAGTTACCTTGGTCTTCAATAACTGTGATGCTAAATCCCGGTGCTGTTCCACCTCACTGCGTACATGATTGCAGAAAGCCACCGAGTACTGGCGGCTGTAGTAGGGACTAAAGTTTTTGATAGCAGCCTCAGTTTTCCCTGGAAAAGAAGGAAAATTCAAGGTCAGAAATGCAGCATCTGTCAGAAACAAACAGTAATCTCAAGCACCACTGTTTCCCACAAATTTACAATGAGCCACATTCCCTGAGGATTTTGATATCTGTGGCACATGCCTCTATCTCTCCCCACCCCCCTTTCTGGTATCAGAGTCCTTAAGGGCTCTTCCCAATAACTCACAGAATTATTTTTCGTTTTATGTCAAAACCCATGGCCATAGACGCAATGATCCTTCAAATTCTTCTACAATTGTCATTCTACTTCTACTGTTCTCCACTTCAGCTGGCTCTTCATTACCATTGGCCTCCAGTCACTCATCTCTGGCTGCCCTACAGTAATCTATGATGTAATCTATAGGAATTCACACTACAGTTGTGTACACATACCCCTCCACTGCTCTTTAGATCCTGGAGGTTCACCTCTAGTTTTATAGATACATAGCCCTAGATAAGATCAACAAATTGTTTCTTCTAATTCTACTCTATGTTTCTGGTTTAAAAGGTGTGTGTGTGTGTGTGTGTGTGTGTGTGTGTGTGTGTGTGAGAGAGAGAGAGAGAGAGAGAGAGAGAGAGAGAGAGAGAGAGGCGGAAAGAGAGAGACAGATTGCTTTGAAGCATTAGATTATTACCAGAGTCTAGAGACTGAGATCTGGTCCCAGTTCCAGTGAGACAGAAATCAGCTGTATGACCTCAGTCAAATCACCCACTCTCTCCCAGCTCTAGGCTCCCTAATCCACACTTGACTTGAGATGTATGTGCAGTGAAGGAGAATCATGGAAATGCAGTTGCTTCACAATAATGACCAGCAACTGGAACACTTGGTCTCTCATGGCCAGAAGAAAATGGTAGCTGAGAACCAATCATGTTGGGGGAGCTTGAGGACATGAGGTGGAGGGGGAGAGGGCAGTATCAGCAATATTCCTGCTTTTCCAACCTGTGTTTGGCTTCAGAGAGTAGGGAAGTTGCAAAGGATGGAAAGGAGATGAAGAAATAGGAGAGGAAAGGGCAAAGGAACACTCGGAAGCAGATTAGAAATCTTCACACCCTTCCAAGGATAGAGATCCTCTGACTATGTTTACAAGTTCTTAGTCCTTGGAATAAGACAATAGTTTGTGAAATAAACTTGATAGCATACTCCAAAGTATTTTTCTTTCATGTGAATTTGGCATCATTCCTGTTTTCAGATTTTATTTTATAGTCAACATAAACATCAAAATATAACATGTACATAAAATGTCAAAAATAAACGACAAATTCCAGTTGCAAAGAAATGCTCAACACACGAACCTTGAATCCATGGCTGCCACCCTCCGTGCTCATGGAATCACAGCCACAAGCCCCTACAAGTATATGGATCCTCTCTGAGGATGGAGGGATTTTTGCTTTAGAATTTAGGGTTCATAATATATATAGGGAAAAGGGGGATTCTTCCTTCTTCCCTCTACAACATGACATTTTCTGGTTGTATTTATGGCCTTTACTAATTATCACTCATAAGGTGTTTTGAGAGCCACTAATAATAGGTTCTTAGAGATGCAAATAAAAACTCCTACAAATTGACTCAGGCATGCTTTTGCTTACTCTGTGAGTTTATGTTATTGCTATTAATCAGTATTACATAATACTTCAACATTCAGGGTTTATAACTATCTAATTGGTTGTTATTTTTATTAGCTCTTATATAGTGCATAAGTAATACAGTTCTATCTCCTTCTCTATACTTTTCTTACATAGGAACAAGACATCTTTGAAAATCCCACAATGAGAATGTGTCTCACCTCAATAAAACATACAAATGCTTAACAAAATTTCCCTCCTAGGTCCTAATTGCCACTATTTTGTTCAGCAAAAGAGCAGCCTCTTAGGTCTGATGGTAATTTGTGCCTTTTTGCTTGGGTTTAAATAAAAGGGGGTGGATATCATTTTATGATCAGCTTTACAAGTCTTTGAAATTTGATATCTTGCCACATCCTCAAGCCTACCTCAAAGACACCCCACTTCTCCTGAGGAACTTCCATAACTACTCCCATAAAAATGTTTCTGTGCTTTGAATATTTGTATCTATCACCCACCAGGCAACATTTATTTTAAAAGGGGATTACAGCATTTTGAGGTAATTAACCAAATCACTGGTTTAAAATGTGAATTAAAACATCTACCAGCACCTGGGAAAACTGGGTAGCTACATGCAAAAAAATGAAACTAGATCATTGCCTCACTCCAGTCACAAAAATCAACTCGAAGTGGATTAAAGACCTAGACATA